ACAACATCTTTGTTGGTATGTGGTGCTGAGGATCGAACCCGGGTCGCACGCATGCCAGACGAGCGCGCTACCGCTTGAGCCACATCCCCAGCCCATACCAGGTTACTCTTGAGGCCAGCCACCAGGATGGTGTTAAGGGGTCTTAATTTTCTCCTGAAGCTACTGGGCGACACTCTCAAAGGATGTTCTGTTGGTGATATCAAACAGCAAGAGGCCTCCAGCAAAAGTTCTGACAATAGGAGCAGCTCACTGACCTCAGCACCCAAGAAGAATCCAGCTTTAGTTTTTTAAGTCCTGTGTTGAGGACAGAAGGGGACAAGGGAATTGGGGGAGTTTCATTTGAAAGAACTGAGGTAGTCAAAAGACCTCTTTTCCTAAGTCAGCTGTGTTAAAGGTGAGTGGCTTCCTCTACCTCAATCTCATTGCCTATCTGTACATCGAGGAGTTTTTTTCATTCATTCAGCAAGTTTTTTTTCCTTATATTTTTATTGGTGCATTATAATTTTACATAATAGTGGGATTCATTAATATGTATTTATACATGCACATGATATAACAATATAATTTGGTCAGTATCATTCCCCAATATTTTCCCTTTCCCTCCCCGTCTCCCTCCACCTGGCCACTTTCTCAGCAAGTGTTTATAAGCTGTGCTCATGCCTGACCTAGGCAGGAGGATACAATGATGAATAAAACACCCAGTGAACATTCCTGCCATTGGAGACAGACAAAAGCAGCAAAAGAAAGGTCTACATGACTGGGGGAGGGGGCTRAGCAATTGGAGAGAAATATTTGAGCTGAGATTTGAGGGATCCAGGTGAAAGGGCTGGAATCTCTTCCAGGGAAATATATAGTGTAGTGAGGTAGGTTGAGCCCAGTCTTGCAGTGCCTTAGAGGCCTCAGAAGGATGATATTTATACCCATATCATAGAAGTGCATCCTCGCTGGTCGCACATGCCTCAGTGGTTCAAGAGGCTGAGGCAGGGAGATCAYAGGTTCAAAGCCAGCCTCAGCAACTTAGCGAGACCCTGTCTCAAAAAGGACTGGGGATATGGTTCAGTGGTTAAATGCCCCTGGGTTCAATTCCTGGTACCAAATAAATGAAAGAATCAACAACGTGGCTAAAGCTCAAATTGCAAGATTTGGAGAGAGTAGCTAAAGATGAGCAGAAAGGGAGCCTTAGGGTGGACAGCCTTCAGGTTTGGTAGTGTCACTTTGTCATTAGAGAGTCAACAGAGAGATGCCTTTGGGGGTAAAGCAAAGAATATGCATTCAAGGGAGAATGCAGGCCACTGCCAAGAGTGAGAGATGCCTTTTGGGGGTTCTAGTCTTCTTTTAAAGGAAATTTGGCGAGAGATGGGTATAGAAAGGTATGTAGGAATGATAGCAGTCTGGTGGTTGGTCAGTGTCTAGATCTTAGGCTGATGTGGTCTTTGTTATATGTGATCGATAGATAACACTGGAAAGTTCCCTAAATTAGAGGTTCCTCGAAATCTCTTTGTTAGATCTATTTATTGGGGGCTTAATTAACAGTGTACAGACAATGTACAGATTTCTCAGGAATCTGGGGAATAACAAGTCTGCAAGAAATTGGAAGTGACAGGCCTGGAAAAGCATGCAGAACTTCTGAATTAAAATCTTATTTCCTGTCCTTCCTTTATGTCTCCTTTCTACCTATTTTTAAATTTCTTCTATCTTACCTCAGCTTCATTCTGGCTTCTCACATGTATACCTGAAGCCCTCAGTTTGGTGCCCATGCTTTGGCTATTTGTGTGTGGCAGGGAATGGGAGAGTAGTGTGGGAGGCTCAGCAGGCCAACTCTGGGCTTCCCACTCCTSTTTAGACTGAGCAACATCTTTCTTAACTGTTGGACTCCCACAAAGATCCCATCAGACAAGAGGATTCTGATGCTTAARACTTGCATATAAACAGGAAGTTTGGCTGGTTGCCTTGGCACACACCTGTAATCCCAGTGGCTCAGGAGTCTGAGGCAGGAGGATCACAAATTCAAAGCCAGCCTTAGCAAGTTAGTGGGCCCTAAGCAACATAGCAAGACCCCATCTCAGAATGAAAAATAAAAAGGACTGGGGGTATAACTCAATGATAAAATGCCCCTGGACTCAATCCCCAGTACCAAAATGAAAAACAGTGCCAGGCAGTGGGAAGCCAGGTAAGTTTTAGCTAAGGACTGATTTTGCTGTTTGCATGGTAAAACCTTGCTTAGCTGCTGGTGTGGAAAGTGAAATTGGAAGCAGGCAGGAGGGGGCCAGCCRGGAAGTTGCTGTAGTTGTTTGGACTAATGGTCAAGTAATAAGGCTTAAGAGGTCCTCCTGAGGAAGAATTAGTCCAAGGGTTGTTTTTGTTGTTTTGTTTTTGTTGTAATTGACACAATATCTTTCTTTATTTTTATGTGGTGCTGAGGAGCAAACCCAGTGCCTCCCACGTGCTAGGCAAGCTAGGCAAGCGCTCTGGCACTAAGCTGTAACCCCAGCCCAGTCAAAGGGTTTTAAGGCAGGATAAGGGCTGGCTACAACAAGGATGGGATGRGTTCTGAGACAGAAGGAGCCACCTGGGACCAGGAAGCCATCCTGGTACTTGCACTGGGATGAAACTGGGAGGAGGAGGGTAGATCTGTACTAAAGGTCTTAAAAATACCTGGAGTTAGGAAAGTCCCTCAGAGGCCTTCCAATGTGGKCCCCATATTTTATAAGTAAGATCACTGAGATATGGAGCAGTCAGTGGGCAGGCTAGGACTCAGACCTGTGGTGGTGGCTTAAAAGACTACAGAGGTCACAGCCCCCATATGCTAGGCTGTCTCCTTCACTGCTGGTCTGAGTCACAGCCCCAGGCYTGTAGGAACAGAGGTTGAACAAGGAAAAGCTTGCCTTTCCTAACACTAGGTCTTCCAGCACAGCTGGGGTAAAGTGTCCCAGCCAGGAGCTCAAGGCAGGTTCTCCTACACGTGTCAACACAGACAGCACCTGCTCTGTGCCAGGGATGGATCCCAGGAAATCATAAATTGGGGGGCATAATAAATGAGATTGGCCAGGGGCTGGGGTTGTAGCTCAGTGGTAGAGCACTTGTCTAGCATGTGCCAGACCCAGGGTTCCAACCCTAACATTGCCAAAAACCAAAAATAATAAAACAATCTGGCTGCCATTGTGCATGCCTTTAATCCCAGTGACTTGGGAGACTGAGGCAGGAGAATCCCAAGTCTGAGGCCAGTCTGGGCAATTTAGGGAGACTCTGTCTCAAAAAGTGCTGGGAGGGGCTGGGGATATAGTTCAGTTGGTAGA